CAAGATAAATGTAGGGGGTTTTGCTTAAAATGTACTTAAATAGCAGTTACTTTCAGATTTTAAGATGCTCAGTCTGGCTGCTGTAATAGAATCTGTAAACAATCAAAACCACAACAAGCCTGACAAGAGAAAAGAGTAGAAAATAGATCAAAAGCTGCCCTGCAGAAATCTTGGGGATACTGGTGGATGAAAAACCAGACACAAGCTAGCAATGTGTACTTGCAGCCCAGACAGCCAACTGCATCTTGGGCTGCATCAAAGGCAGCATGTCCAGCAGGGCAAGGGAGGTGATTCTCCTCCCACCTGGAGTCCTGGCTTCCTCAGCACAAGATGGACATGGATTTGAAGAAGGTCCAGAGGAGGGCCAAAAAATGGTCAGAAGGTTGGAACACTTCTCCTGTGAAGACAGGCTGAGAGAGTTGGGATTGTTCAGCCTAAAGAAGAGAAAATGCTGGGGCTACCTTATTGCAGCCTTTGCTTATATAAAGGGGTTTATAAAATAGATGGAGAAAGACTTTTCATCAGGGTGTATTGTTACAGGTCAAGAGGCAGCATTTCAAACTGAAAGAGAAGAAGTTTAGATTGGATATAAGAAGGGAATTTTCATGAGGGTGGTGAGGCACTGTCACAGGTTGCCCAGAGAAGTCATGGATACCCCATCCCTGGAAATGTTTCAGGCCAGACAGGATGGGGCTCTCACCAACCTGGTCTAATGGAAGGTGTCCCTCCCCATGGCACAGGGGTTGGAAGTCGATGACCATTGAGGGTCTCTTCCAACCCAAACCATTCTGTAACAGTTTTATTCACCAAATATTCTGGGTAATGCACAGGTTTGGCTTTGCAGACTCATGCTGATCTGAGAACAAACTAAAGTTTGTGTTTCACTACTGTAGTCTCAGAATTGATGCATCTTCTTTTCCCCTTGAATTCCTTGAAAACACTTTTCAGAAGAATTTTATTTCTTATTTCAAAGAGAAAAAATTAGGTTAAGCTTGCTTAACTTTTATCCCAGAGCCTAACCTTAATACTGATACTTCATTTAATTTCAAAGCATGAAGCATTTATGACTCATTCTAATTTACATAAGTCTTCTTATTCTATTATGAAAATGGCAATTTTCCTTTGCAGAGACATATAGAACATGGTCTCTCTTATTGTGTCAAGTAACATTTAATAGCCTTTAGCTGTAACTTGGGACTGTTACAAAATGTCCTCAAGATGAGTCATCTTCATTCATTTATTCTGCAATAGGAAGAATTCATGAATGAGTGATCTGCAGTAATTCACTTCTACAAAGAGAACTCATTCATACATTTCAAACCTGGTTTTCTGAATCACTGTAATGTAGCTGATTATTTCATATTAACAGAAGAAAAATTTGGCTTAAGGAAAGTTTCCACAGAATTCTGTGTATTTCTAGTATATGAGAAAATTTTCATATATTTAAAAGACCTCTTTTGAAAAGAAACTTTTTGGTCTAACACATGGTTACACAGACAGATATGATCCTATCTATCTAGCAAGAAATGCATGGTGTTTTTGTAAAGTTAGAGACTGACAAATGGTTTAAATTGAAGCTGCATCGAGGGGGAGCACGAGATGTCACTATGAGACAAATCACTAGGCAGGCAAAGAAAATATTTTATAATATCCAAAAAATATGGCTATTGGCACATAGAAGTGCTCAATCTAAGCTGTATTTAAGTCAAAATACAGACAAGAGAAACCCAACTATGATCCAAAACTGCTAACTACAGAAAAATAAAGTAAACATGCTTCTTATTCTACAGAAATAAAGAATTAAATACATGTTATTTTAATTCATTAAAAGGTCACCAAAATAAAGGAGTGGAATTCACCAAGGATCAAGGGTCTCTTAATCATCACTGCTCTCCTGCCATCCTTAGAAATTTAAAACCAGGAATTATTCTTATGAGTCTTTTCACTCAATATTATTCACTCAATATTCTACTGCCATGGAAGAGGACCACAGTAAGAAGTTGCTTCTCACTTAATGTTCCAGTTCCAAACCAGTCAAAGCTTTACAGACCACCTGTGAGAGCAGACATATAAGTAGTCAGTACAAAGACCTGCATGCAAATGCAGCATTTTCTTTAGAAGCATAGTTCAGAGAAAATGCATCGCGTGCTTCTCCATTAATTAGTGCTTTAAGTTTTCATTACTTCATTTACTCAAGGACAGCTATAAACAGTCACTTTATTCACACTTCTCCTTTCTCCTGAAGAGACATTAACTCTCATCATTTTCAGGTTGAGAAATTTTACCCTATGTACAGTGTTGCCAAAGTAAGGACAGTTCTCTTTAAAAATAGAATAGATGAAAGAACAGCTCAAAGATTAACAGAGAATCTGAATGTTTCCAACAGGCAAATATTTGATGCAAAAAACCCCAATTAACAATTATGGTTAGATTTATTAACAATCCACATTGACTTCAGCAGACAGCACAATATCAAGGTGAACTGACCAGCAATAAAGCACAAGAGAGATTTAGAATTATGCAAGGAATTGTGACTTACTGAATCATTCAAACTTACGTATCTGGCTATCTGCTATCTGGGATCCATAAACAGCTCGCTTCTTCTCAACTTCCACTCTTTTATTTTAGTATTATATTTACATAATTTCAATTTTTTATATCATACATCACTGAAAAAACTGCATATGTGTTCTTTGCAGAGACTTCTAAGTTGGAAAATTTAAGAGATTTTTAAGTCAGAGTCATCTTCATGCTTGCTTTCTAAATATAAACATCTTTGTGCATTTATCCAAACCATTCTCATTATATATTTCCACATCTATAACTATGATTTCACCTAACAACTGAGTGCATACAGTGAATAAAAAATCAAGAAACTGATGTGAGCTTTCTTTCTTTCAAGACAATGCAAGACTCCTGCAGCTGTAACCCATTTTGCAGACTGATAATCCATTTTGTAGACAAGTCAAGGGCAAACTGTTTGAGAAGTTGTGGCAGAACAAAAAAGGACAAATACCAAATTACTCTCTATAGTTTACACCATCTAAAATAGTTTATTTTATACAAATCTCTACACAGAAAACCAAACAGTAAACACTCCTCATTATATGCAGCAATACGTATAATGAAAAAGGAACAGCATAAATTACTAAGGGAATTTCTTAAGGAAGACAGACCCAACAACCCAAAAGGTAGTAAGATCCATTGGCATGGCACTCAAAAACACAGAAATGTCTCAGAAGTGGCAAGAACAGACCAGCAAAGCAATATTCAAAAGATCAGGTGCTAAGTCAGGTTCTGTATGAATATTACTGAATTCACAGATATTAAAAAAATCTTTATGCCCCCTATTTTACTACAAACTATAATCCACAATTTCATCTTTAGGAAGGGGGAAAGACAAGAAGAATACCTGTATGACAGGAGGTTTGACAAAAGCTGTGGTACTGATTTGGGATGTAGTTTTCCAGATTGCAGTGCCATTTTTCAGGGAAGTTGTAAAGACTGTACTTCAGCTTACATTTAGTGAGTCACAGAAACAATCATCTAGTAACTTGCTCATGCTCACTTTCATATATAAAGGATGAAGAGATCCACAGCTGAATCAAGTCACAACAGCAAGCTGCCTGCTCTGAAAGCAAGAGGCACCAGGCAAGGATAAAAGCTGTACCATGGAAGGTTAGAACCCTATCTGTAAGAATATGATGTTAATATTTTTGCAGTTCGTTAAACTATTCCTGCTTTGATGACAATCATGCCAGGAAAGTGTCAATTCATTCTCCAGCAGTGAGACCATTGGTAAATCAAAAATTAGGACTAAACATGCAACACATGCCACTTCCCTCAGTATTTTGTGCAATAGAAGCAAAATATATCTTATCGTTTCTTTAAATTGAATTGCAATACAAAAATAATTTTATTTCCCTCAGTACTGTCAAGTAATTATTACATATCATGTTTCAAGTAAGCTGTATAGAATGGTGAGCTGCAACACTGATCCACTGGTGGCTCAAAGGATGCAAAAATACCACGCAGTCAGCCCAAAGTCTTGAAATATTGTGCTAACAGACACATAAACTTTAAGAACTGTCAATATAAACTTAATTACCATCTAAGGCTTCCTTTGAATCAGTTGTTTTGTAGCCAAAGGACCTGCCTATGACACTGGAAAGCAGACCTTTCAGCTCTTCTCAGACTGGAGAGAAGAGGGAAAGGAGCTGGAAAATGTTTGCTTCAAATTCCCAGAACAGTGTCTGATGGGGCTGGGCCAACATCCAGATAAAAAAAAAATAAGGATGAATTCACTGGCCCAGATGATGACAAGCAAAAATGTGACCTCATAACTGAATCTGTGGATACTCTCTTGCAACACAGTAAAATGGTATTCTGTGCAGCAGCAGTAGCTGATTGCTCATTTCTCACAGTACCTTTATGTTTAATTGGTAGCTCTGGTCATTCAGAAGAGAAAACATCCAAACTGACCATCGCATAAGGGGATGCTATGCTTAGATGAAACATTTGTATTTTGAAGCCACACTTGCTAGAACTCAGAAATAATGCCACTTGGCTCCTAGAGATAATGAGAAACTAGGTGGGATAACTTACAGGGAAACAACGTCCACATGATAGCAAAGAATTAAAAAAAAATTTAACTCAAGCCATATTAACAGTTTGAGCTTTTAATTTGAGGTCTGTGAAATAAATGAACTTAGTCAAAAGTTACTACAACAGCCTTTCCGTGCTTGCTTTGCAATCTGAAAATGTTTCTCCCTTCTCCTCCCCACGAAATTTAATCTCATCTAATATAATGTAAGAAAAAGTACTTGGTTTGTGACAGTGAAATCTAAATCCCAATGATCCTTAGCACATAATCTTTTAGGTCTTTAAACAGCTCTTGTATTTAAAATTAATTCTGCCATTCTTTTGCTTTCACCACAAATTGCCTTTTATTAATCCTGATTCAGACTCAGAAAATATGAAAATAAATTTATCAACTTTACCTGTAATGCACTGAAACTGTCCATCTTCTCTTCTTATTGTAAATGCTTCCCCTGGATTAACTTGCACAAGAATAACCTTAAAAATAAAAGAGTGTTTACAACCATTACACAGGAATATGTTACAGAAGTCTGGTATGTGCAAAAAAAAAAAAATTTACAGGGAAAAAAACAATTTGTTTTTTCTGGTTAGTAAATACATTATTTTTCACTTCACACTTCTTGCTGTCTTCATCCCACAGAGAAATAGATAAGAGCAAGAACAAGCACAGATATTTTTAAACAAACATTTTTCAAAGAATGAGAGAATAACAGCTAAGTAAAACAGTACCTGTACAAATTTTATTTTCTCAACTGCTTGGTATAATTAGAAAGCTATTTGTACAGCTTAAATTATTTCAACAAATTGCATTAACTTCAACATTAATCAAACCATTACGTAAACTTTCAGAAGGAAGCCTAGAATTCCCAGTGCTTGACATCAACCACTTGACAAACAGTTTTCAACACATGGAAAATACTGTGTCATGTCCTTCTTTACGTGACCCAAGCATATTTGTACATTCATTAATGATAAAAAAATATTAGAAGTCATGACAAAGTAAGTGTACCAGATGCCCAGTATGAAACAGTATGTATAATTTTATTTGTGGAAAGCTGGTTATCCCAATTTTGTAAACCCAAGCAATGCAGAAATGATAGCAAAGCACACAGCAGCCAAAATAAACAGAGAAAGTCTGTACCAAAGCAGAAGCCTGTTGCTATTTTAGATTTCTGTATTTTTATTTGAAACCTGCCCTTTTGTGAGGAAAAGAAGTTTGTAAACGTGAAAAACCTAGCTAAAATTATGAACCAAGGAGAAAAAAACTTTAAAAAGTAAAAAAGCAGGTGAATTTTATAATTTCCTTTCTGGATAGAATGTTCTTCAGACTTGTTTGCACATGTCTAAATAGAGCCTATGTCCTCCTCCCTCTACAAATCACTAGGAAAGAAATCTTTAGAAACACAACTCCTGAGCATTATGGCCAAAAATTTACTTTGTTAAATTGCTAAAAGAAAATAAAATCTTTCATGTTTACAAAAACACAACCAACCAACCAAAACCCCCAGAACTGGAAACTTGAGAGTTAATCATTTTAGGAATATTAGAGACAAAGGAAAAGATAAGAAAATGGCAGAAATAATATGAATTCCTCCCTTTCTGGTGAAGCAATTTCACAAATTAAAGACAAGATGGCAAGTTCTAACACTAACATATTGATGAGATATGATAGACATTCACATTTTCAAGCTTGGGCTGTGTGAGTCAACACTGATTAGCTCGGGTTCAAGCAAGCACTTTAAAAATACTATCTTGTTTCACATGTTTTTTCTAGACGCTTTGACTGTTTGAGAAAAAATAATGAACTGTATCAATATTTACATTTTTATCAAGCTATTACATCTTCCAGATCTTCTGAAGTGTGGCTCAATGTAAAATTCAGTTAGCATTCCTAATGTAATCTAAACAAGATGATTTTAGTAATGAATTTCAAAGAAGACAAAGGTCTTCAGAAAATTGCCAGAGTTTATTTTGCCAGAGTTTATTTTGAAGTGATTGAAGGTAGCATTTTAACAACTGGCTATCATCACCTTCAGAATGTGATGAAGAAGAGAAATAGAATAGATGAGTTCTTAAAGTTTCTTTTTTGGACTTCCCAAGCAGGCATAACTTTTTCAAGACATATTTCATTGATATACTCTTCCCTCTGCTACAATTGAAAATTTTAGCTTGACGTTTAGACTTGTATAAAAGTAGCAAAAAGCTTCATGGTACAAGAGAATGTCTCTCCATCTGTTATGTGTGGGCTGGATAGCTACATTTTCCCATCTCTTTCAGCTGATTTCAGTGCCCAAACTCCTGGGAGGAGCCATTCTGGCTACAGCTGACGTCTCAATCTGTACCAATCTCAGCTCAATATTCCTGGTCGCCATGATACGAATTGTGAGAAATGCTTTAGGGCGATGCCTGGCCCTTGATTCCTGTTTTTAATGGAACAGGGAATGTGGGTTGACTGTATTCCCAGTTGTCCCTGTTTATTCTGTGTGAGTGCCTGAGGCTGGTAAACTGGGTAATAATGCTGTTGTAGGAACTTGCTGGCATTCCTCCTCCAGACCTCTTGCTGCAGGCCATCCAAACCTGAGGTTCAGCTGGCAGAGCGGATTTGAGCATGGGAACACACACACACACACTGGCCCAACTGCAGCAAGTGGGCCCTGTGCCTCCTGGTTTTGTGTTAAATCAGCTTCTCCTGTGTGAGCATCTTTGTTGCTCACTTCACAGCTGCTCTGAGAAGCTAAAGGCTCAACAGGCAGCCATGGTGCAACAGTGAGATGGGCACTGCTCAGCAGCAGCGACAGGTCAGCTGATGGGAGTCCAGCACCATTCTGACACTCAGGATGCCATCCGATTTTCACATCTCTGATGACATCCAACTGCCAATCCAAAGACTGGGGAGACTCACCAACTTCATGCAGTTTAATTAGATCTCAGTTCCCAGAATCAGGAAATAGAATGCATTTTGTCAATGGACAATTAGTCTACTTGATGCCTGATTGTATTTCATTGACTCCCACTTTCAGCCTTGCTTTAATGAAGTGCATTCACATTTTTATTTTAGAACTATTACAAGGTAGGCTGTATATCCTGCCAAGTGTGCCAAAAGAGATTCTGAAGCAGGACTGAAATTTCAGAAGTTTCAGTAACTGCTGGCTTCAACAGTCTTTATGTTAGGGCAGTGTAGGACGAAAAGGGGTTTCTGGATCAACCTTATCACAGTTGAACCCCACGGAGTGATCACAGCTTTGAGAAGAGCATTTCTGAGACTCTGCACCTCAGTAAATATGATTTGAAATAAGAAAAATTAAAGCTATGTATGGAGAGAGATTGATACCTTTCTGGTCAGAAGAGATAGCACAAAACTGACAGTCACTCACAGGAATTCCCCCTTATCTAATGGAAGTCTGCAGCACATAATCAAAGATGCAAGAAAATTTCTCTAAAGGGAAATGTAACATGGATTTTATATATCATCATGTTCTAGGTAAAAAAAAAAAAAAAAAAAGAGAGAGAAAAAAAAGAGAAAAATAAATTTATGGGTTGTTTATTTATAGCTCTTTCAACTCATTTGAGGTGCCCTTGTACAGGCTTGCACACCCTATCAGCCAACAAGTTACTTCATGTACCCTGACATCAATACTTCTGAAAACCAGGGCCTGAGTCTTTCACACTGAATATTCTAGGTCTTGACCTCCTCCCTCTTCTGGGCAAAACAGTTAAATTGGCTTGAACTAAGAGAAAAGCTTTGTAAAAATGTGATGGTCCAGCCTCTCTTCCTGTGCCTCAATCTTTTTGTGACAAATTGTGTTGCTTTACTCACAGTACCCAAAGTTCCGTTACCCAAAGGCTGACATGCATTCTACCCTTCGCCTCCTCCGCTAAGGTAACTACGATACTCAGATAAAAACCTCATTTGTGATGAGTCAGTCTCAGTGGGAGGCACCTTTAGCATGGGCACTTTTCAAGGGCTATTTCTCTTACTAAATCAACAAAACACTAATAGAGAACTTCACAATCTTAACAAAAAAAAAAAAAGTGAACTTAGGATACTGAAGCCTTGATACAAGTTTTAGAATCATACAAGCACTTTTAAAGCAACACCAACTATAATGGAACCTAATAAAATTCAGAAGTGTAATTTCTGAATGCTATCAGAATTTTGACTTAATGCATTTTTGTCTCAAATCATATTAAGGCATTGCCATTAAGAAATAGGAGTATTAGGTCAACTAGTTCTATGTAATTTCCAATGTGATTATAAATTGTTTTCTTTAAACAGTTGTTTAATGATGATCCACATGACCTCAGTACAGTTTCTGATGAAAAACAATACAAAATCTCTTTCCAGAGATTAGCATACAAGTGAACAATACATGAGTGCAGATACACACTTATGTTAAAAGCAGTTCTTGCATAAATAAAAAAGCAGCCACTGAATGGCTGAAGTTTGAAATACCTGAAACATCAGTTGTCAAAACTGTTAGTTTTAGAAGTGAAATTTCACACTTTTCAATGGTACTTAAGTTATTCTATATAGGCTACTTTAGAAAATAAATCCAAACCAAATGAGCAACACAGTAAGCTTTGTAGTAGTTTAATTTAATTGCCCAGATTGGCACAGATCTCCTAACAAAAAGCCTTCTAACCAAACTAATAATGCCACGTATTAGAAAGCTCAGTGTGTATTTCCTGAAACTGCTGTTTGAACTCAGGCAGAAGCTGAAGCCAAGCAAGAACATAGGAAATGACCTGATGGTCTGGGTCAGCAGCCCATCTAGCCAAGCGCTTTGACTCTAATGTATCAACGGAGATGCTGCTTAAGGAGAGTGTGTGAGCCATGCCACTTTCTGGAGTCCATCTCTCCTACTGTCCATATGTTTGCCTAAACTCTTTGAGTTCACACACAATTTGAATTGCCTCCACAACCTCCTATGGCAGTAAGATCCTGAAATTTTATTTTTAGACAATAAAGCCATCTCCTACTAATTACATGTTCCCTAGCTTCTCTGCTATGGGATTTGCTGAAAAACAGTTCTGAATAAATTTCATCCATCTCCTTCAATATTTTTTAAGTCTTGGCAATTCCCACCTCCTTATACCCAGTCTGCAAACCAAGGAGTTTAATATTCCTGATCTCTCCTGGGAGAACTGCTACACTGCCTTGACCACATCAGTGATATGTAAAGCCACATTTACATTAGCAAAGTAAGCAGTACTCAGGAACATTCCCAATGCTGGAACAGTCACCTGCAATAATGAACATGCTATAGTAGTCCTGAGCATAACACAGTCCATACAGAACTGAAAACTGTTCCTGAGATCACTCTTACCAGGCAGTTTGCAAGAAAAGATTTACTAAAACTGACTTGTTTCACGACACAGTCTCAGTCTCCATGAACATTTGAAGCATATTTAAAGTACTAATATAAACAATTACTGAAAGTATCCTGAAGAAGCCCTACAATATTATGACTTTTTGAAGGACTAAATAAGGGACACACTCTAGAATGGTTTTGAAAATCTATTCTTCACCTTAAATCACAATTTGAGCTGGGCAGATGTGGCAAATATATTTTTAGAATACAGTAATTCTCTCCCTAAACAATTCCAAATTGAATATAATTTTATTGCAACTCAAGTAGTATAATCATATCCTACAGAGATGTGTAACACCAACTTGCACATACTACCATTAACAGATATAATTATTTTAAAATGATAATATCTTAAGATCTCATATAGGATTTATTACTACATCAGTGTGAGCAGGATGGAAAGTATTTAGATCTTGCATCTAAAGAATCAATGGAAGTACAAACGTTCAAGGAGAAGAATACTTTTTTTGTTCAGTAAAATTCTTCACTGTCTGCAAGAAAAATACAGAATGTTTCTGCCGACTGAAGCAGGAAAGAAGTTTAATGTTTTTTTCAAGTCTTCAGCTTGTTTCTAACACAAAAGAAATGAATTTGATAAAAATGGCTGGAGTCATGAAGGAACCCCTGTAAGAATGGAAGTAACAAAAGGTGAAAGAGAAAGCTGTGCAAGGCAGAGCTGCAGCCACTTTGACTCAGCAGGCTGCTCCAAAGAAAGGAAAAACTTAAGGCCAAATGTTAACACTTACCTCCATAAAGGTCTAGAAGTAATTTTTATCAGCAAGAAGCAGAGGCTGCAGAAGCCAAAAAAAGATCCTTCAAGGTATTTCACTCTGCCAGTATGGTCATGGCAGTGTCTTTCAAAAGCAAAACAGCAGCAATACAAAATACAGCTGATTTGTATCTAACTAATCTTTGCCATTAGGTATACAGAATACTTTCATAAGCAACCTAAGATTTTGCTCGTGTCAGATGAATATACAGTTATTTCTCCATTGGAGCACAGTGAGGGCAGAATGGAATTTAAAATACAGTGTTAGCTAATCTTGTTTTGGATAAGTTTGTCTGCACAATAATTAAGGCCAAAAAGCCCATTAACTCCACTGAAATAAATTAAAACCAGCCCTTAATTCTGTAATATATGCACTTCTACAAGCTTGTCTACTTGAACGTCCATCCTCCTAACGGAAGTAGTGATGTACCAGGACACTGACAGATTTCAAAATAATTTCAGCTACCTGACAGAAAAGAAAGGCAGCTTTAGACTTGTGGCACCTTCACTAATGTGTATTTACATTGCAACATGAAGGAAAAAGCTTCCCTGGTACTTTTCAGTGGAAGAAAAAGTGACTAACTATAAATAGCCTTGCACAATTAATAACTGGTCTCTGTCAGGTGTTAAGTAAGAAAGATGGAAACATAAACCTATGGACATCATTGTGAAATACTAATACCAAAATTGGATTCATCCTGAAAAGGACCCTAGATGAGGTGAAAGACTTGTAGAGCAGAAAAACAAAAACAGATTAGGACTAATCTCTAAGCATTAGCATCTTCACTGTTTTAAGGCACCATCTTTCCATAGCAGAAACTGTAAATACAATTAGAAACTCAAACTATTTCTGTCCCCATGGAAGAAAAAAAAAAAAAAAAAAAAAGCTGATAAGTAAATAATGAAATAAATCAAAGAGCTCTAAAAGCTAACTTCAAAAGATCACACAGCAAGTTTGACACATTTCTCTTATGCTCACCATTATATGTGCAATAGCAGGTCTCAAATAAAATTTAAAAGGCTAAAGAGCAAAGCTTCCTCCCCAAATAAACACACACCATACAGCCAATCAAAAACTAGTACCTCAAAATTATTTTGTTATTTCTATCAATTACATACATGCAGCGGACCTATAAGGCAAAAGAAATTTTATTTGATAAAAAATCTACATATTCAAAATATTAAGAATACACTTAATTTATTGTTTAGCTTTGAAAAATTTGAATTTAGTCCAAAGTAAAAAAAACCAAAACCACCAAAAAGACCCCACAACATAACAACTCAACATCCAAAAACCAAATAATTGTGTTTAGAAGTACACTAGGTACTCTTTTACACAGACACAAAACAAAACAAATCCAGAATTAAGACATTTGTTAACCTTCTCCTTCACACTGCTCTATAAAGTTATGAGGATCTTCCTAATTTGGACAATTTTTTGCAGATCAGATTTGAGTAAGGTTCATGGAAGAGAGTTTAACTTACCCTTACCAAATCATAATGATCTTAAATATTACACATTTTAGAGCCAATGTTCAAATAATACCTGCATTTCTAACAGGACAGGACTGACTGAAGCAGTTTCCAATTCTTCTAAGCCAGCACAAACATCAGGAGAATCAAGTCAGATACAGTAAAACTTTGTTTGCAAGTTTGGTATTTACAGCCAAATTTTCAAATCTTTTCTAGCACGGAACACACTGTGTTGTCCAAATAAATGCTTTTAAAGCATTAAAAGATTCTCTATCTGTAAAAGAAATTATTAGCTACAGAATGTAAAACATCATTAAAAAATTTAGCTTTCCTAATAATTACAGGTTTATTCCAAAACAGCTAAGCATTAGCTGAAAAACTGAAACTATAATTTTAATGTTACTGGGATATGGGAGAAAGGTTTTTGTATCTGTAATAAAGAAAAATAAATCATCAAACTTGTTCTGTCTCCAGAATATCTTGGCTCTCAAACCTATCCTCCAGTACCAAAGACTATCAGCCTCCTGAAGGGAAAAGACAAAGGTTAATTTTTTAAATCCTGACTGAGACTAAAGAAACCAAAATACATTAATCATCTGTGTCATGTGTGAAGTTGTGGGATAAGTCCACATGAGAACTGGCACTCTTTTCTCTCCGTAGGTTAGCATTGTCTACAGCCACAAAGGCAAGAAAACCAAAGGAACCAGACTGAATTTCAGTGTAAAAGTGCATTTTGAATGCTTGTTTCTCTCCAGCCACCCTCCACTTCACTCTGAACGAGAAAGGAACTCAAAGGGTTACTTTGTATCTTCCTTTAAAAGAAGTTAAATATGCTTTGTGAATTTACATATTTTTCCAGAATGAGTGAAATCTGGGACAAATTTTCCAACCAAGCTAAAAGCCTCTGAACATATATAGCAAGAAAGCTAATAGATCAACCAATAAATATATCATAACAAACAAATAAACAAAGCAATCCTTTAGAAACAAAGCAGATTACTAGCCTGGCATACACATTAAAATATCAAAAAATGCGGGAAGTAAGATGTGAAGGAAAAAGTGGAGGGGGGAGGGAAGCTAGAACATGGTACAATAATTTTAGTCATTATTAATATTAAATATATAACATGAAGAAGTACGTTACATTACAAACTGTGCTTAAAGCACACTTAAATGTAACTATATAGTAAGAGACTGCTCCTGTACAACAAGGAAGATTACAAGTTGGAGCAAAACAATATTACTAAGAAGCAGAGTTGTTTTTCCCTCATTTTGGAGTGGTTTTGGGGAATGTGTGTGTTTTTTGGGAGTATGGGGTTTTGGGGTTTTTCTTTCTACAAACAAACTTCCTAAAAAGCAAGAGGGTAAGCTGTTCCAAAATGTTTGCCTGGACATTTAAAACCATAATTTAAATATAATAGAATCACAAACCACTTCTATACTAGCAGAAACAATACTATTTTCTGAGATGTTTTACTAGGAAAGAGAAGAGTGTTTCAGGCTTGGGTTTTTTTTTTTCTGGTTTTGTTTTTTATTAATCTTAAAACATCTATGTTTAGCATTATATGGTTATAGGTGCTGAGTCAGTAGCAAAAGATTGCCGGCAATCACAAATAATGGAAAGACTTCACCAAAATCGTATTTCTAAATGCACTGCTAATACAAATCAACAGGAAAAAAAAAGACAGCAGTGGTTTGTCTAAAAATACTGCAACTGAAATTAGCTCAGCAGTACTCATGAGAAGATTTTTACCCAAAAAAGACAAAGGTAGATTAATTCTTGAATATTTTTCAAATTTAGGAAAACATCGTAGCTAATACTCTTTGTCATTTTGACTTCAAAAAATTTTAAAACACTGAACCTGTTAAGAGGGTGGTACAGCCAAGCTCTTCGTAAGATGTACACTGTATCTTTAACAATCTGTCTGCAACAGGATTATAAACGGGTGTATTTCTAGAAAAGACACAACTTCCAGGCAGAGCCACATTTATGCTCTGTCATTAGGGCACGTATTCAGAACAATTACATTTTTCTCCACTAATAGTTGCAATCAAGATGTTAATTAGTGACATGCTTTATCTCATAACCCATTTCAAAAGCCTTAGCACTTTGACTTACTGTTGCTCGCATCCTTTTATTTCTCTCATTCAACTGGTGCTACCACAGTGACAAAGGATGAAGGAAGATTCAACAGGCACCACTCCGGCTGCTCCAATCTGTTCCATTCACTCAGTACTGAGGTAATCTTCGGGGATGTGTGGAACACTGCCCCCCCTCCTGTGAACAGGGCACCTAAACCTGAACGCCACGCCGGAGGATCTCCCTTCACCTTCCTCTATAGCTGTGCATCCACCAAGCATGTGGAGGCAGGATGTGAAAGGTAGGATCAATTAACAATATAGTCAGCAATACCTACCTCAAGCCTTCCTTCCTATCAAATTAGCCAACGTACAGTGAGCTTCCTGCTGTACATGAATGTATCATGTCACCATAGCAACTAAATCAACAAATAGCTGCTGCAGCATCTGCTTCTGGATCATCTAACGTCAGTCAACAGAAGGTTCGGGTTTAAGAGAACAAAGCTTCCAAATATATGCCGTTTTATAACTGCATTTTTAATTTAGCCTCCTGATTCCCAGATAGGCTATTACTAACTCAGGATGAACCAACTTCTGACTTTATAATCTGCAATACAGTTTATGACTTCATTTCTCAAGTAAGCCAGAAAGAAGAGGGGAAAAAATACTCTGTAAAAGAATAAAAAGAAACAGCAAAGAAATAATCAACTGGATTCTAATGCACTCACTCAAACACCGTGCTATTTTATAACATGCATTTACTAAGACACATGAAAAGAAAGAAGTATGTTTCTGAAGTTTGCTTCATAATTTACATATGTCTGCCCTAAATAATACCATAGACAGAAATACCTTTTATGAAATATGAATATTAAAGACATTTCAGATAGCTGACAAATATGGTTTCCCTCTATTAGTCTCCACTTCAGAGCTAAACTGAAAACATCCAGTATTGTTTTCTGGCAAACTCACATCTGCAGTTTTTAATCCCAACAACAGCAGGGGACCACTGGCACACCCTCACCTGAAGAAAGACAGATACACAGAGAAAAACACACATCCCTCTCTTGTGAGAAATTACTTCAAATACCACTTGTGCACCACTGGTTTAAATCCTAACCCACAGGCAGACAAGATATAGAAAACTGCTTTGAAATTGTCTTGGTATTCAGAATGCAACAAAATGAGAGTACAGATAAAATGTCATCTAAGGTATAAAAAAATTCTAACATTACTAACATCTAATGTCTTCAAATGTAATAAGCAAGTGTTCAAAGACACAGACACTTTTATGTAAAAGGACTCAAAGCTACAGCCTACTTAAAATAAAGAAAAAGTAACTTTCCTTTCTTTTAACTTCAAGTCATATTCCTAACATTTGATCAGCATGAAATTATTTACCAAGTAAAAGCTTTCCAGGCAAAAAGTATCAGTTATACAAATCCAGGATAACTTTATTATTAAAAACACCTACTTTTAGTTTTCAAAGCAGAGGTTTTTCCATCCATTTTTTGTTACAACAAAAATCATTACATCTAGATTGGCTCCAGAGCGTGGTCCAGTGAGCAAGGAAAACTAGATGCAGACTCAAGATACTAACACTGCTGTGGCTCCCATACTGACTTACTGTGATTTGTGCCTTTGTCACCTCACCTATGCCAGAGTTCCCATTTGTAGGGCTAGTCCAACAGCATTTGTAAGTTCCTACATGCTACTGGATCAAAGAATGCTGCCAGATTTGAGTGTTTTTATTCATTAGTAGCACAGAAATTGCCAGATGGAATCACGTCTGTGGTCGAGCTAAGGTGATGTCAGTTACAAACACAGCACAAGTTGTTTTTCCATTGACTGTATGTTCAAAATCTGCTGCTTATATCATAACAAGGCTAATGAGGCTATGAACTACTCTTTTCCATAATCAAGCTCACTATCACTTAAAAAACATATTAAATGGAAAAATGCAAAAGATGTAACAAGCCTTACAGAGAGTATATGATTATTAAATAGGAAATCCTGACATCAGTAATAAAAGCTAAATTAAAACAGTACTTTACATGTTTTAAATTGGCAAAGACTTATGTATTTCATGGTCATGAAGTGTTACTTCCAAGTACTTCTTTCTTCAAGTCATCTTTCAAAAGACCTTTCTGCCTCCCATCTTCTTTTAAACTTAATAAAAGCTTCCTCTCCCACACTGGCTACTATAAAGAATTTTGAAAACTTTAGATTAAGCTTTGTACCACACCAATTCATAGCAGACTCAGCACACAACATTTCCATGTTATCTGTAAAGAAATGTTAGAATTTTCTTTTTTACCTGAAATGATCTTCTGGTTTTAGTATTAAAGACAGACAAAAACAGGTTTCCCATCATTATTTATAGAACCATACTATAGACTTTGATCTTTGTCCAAGTAACGTGATGCAACACTCTTAAACACCAAAGTTCTAAATCTTCTACTTTCCACTGTATTTCTTTTGAGCAAATTCCAGTTTACAGGTTTCCTGTGACTAGGCAATTCTCTACCCTGGCATCTGCTAGTACTGACTGTAAGGATCTAACTGCTCTAGATATGAGGTTTAAAACTTTCTTCATGAAGAAGAGTAAAGATATGGGCAGTAAAGGGCATTAACAAATCTTGGATTTCAGGATGAGGGAGGAAAGCCACAAAGAATTAATTGTTACATAATATGTTGCAATAGCAATTTACATGCTGGGGATTTTGAAAAAAACAAATACAATCCAAACGATTTCAGCTTACAGAGAAAGTAGCTGTGTATTTGGAAAAAAGTGAGTGAAAGAAGCCATCTTTCCAGTGACATGCTTCTAAGGCCTGTCTTTTCAAAGGACAGACCAAGCAATTCTGCATCATTTTTCTAAAAGGCAGCTGACAGATAATAAAATCAGTAAACATTTAATCTTTAACCATTGCTACAAGATACTGTCAGCACCACTGACTGCACTAAGACAACAGAATATCCCTAGGAGTGACTGGCAACAGGGAGATTGGAAAGATGCTGAGACTTCATTGGCACTGGCATTCAAAAACTATAGATGTCAATAAACTTTCATTGCTCTTTGCAGAAAAGCAGGCTGGAAAGATCCAAGAATTGATGACTTTTTTTTTTCCTAGAAAATAAATTTCTTTATGAAAAGTTTTTAAAATTCTTACTGTAGTGTTCTCCCCCTTCTTTTCACGTAGATGATCAGTTAAAAAAGCTGACCACTGAGAAGGGGAGGCAAAGATAGTTTCTAGCCTTGTTTTGTAAAAATACAAAGTTTTTTGAGAAGAACCAGTAAAAGATAAATGTTAAATTCTGCATTGAATGTCAATGATAAATGTTCAAGACTTGTTAGTGTCCACATATAACAGTGCAATCAGTGTACATTCCACAAGGGTCTGTCTCATTCTTTAGTACTAAGAAATAATTACAATTTTCATCTACTTGCTTCTTCTCTGTCTCTTCTCTTTTGTATTCTCAGTTCTCACAGCTTGCCTAAGCAAAGTTTTATTTGCCTCATTTACAGCAAACCCAGTCTGTCTCATTAGCATTTACACAGTCTGTGGTTAGCAGATAGTGCACAGAAAATTCGCTGCTTAAAATAATACCACTGTTTTATCTTTAAATCAGCGAAGGTATAAACATAAAGATAACAACAGTGTTTCAAGGAATCTGGATAATGCAACAGACAAACATTTGGGCTTCAAAGTTTTAAACTAATCCATGTTTACAGGGAATTAAAAGGAAGCAGTGTTAGGGGCAGTCACTGAACTCTGGAACTTTCTGAGGCATCTGGTCACAGCCCATGGTTAGACACATCAACCTATAAAAATAAAAACTGTAAATACTTCAATCAGATCATTCTCATTTCATGATTTGCTGTTTGAAGTCCCTAGAAATTCAGCTTCATGATGCTAAGCAAAAGTGGGTGAGAAGCAGAGCTCACACTGCACAGCAAACAGGCAGCAAGGGCTAAGGTTTCAGCTAATACTTCACAGGGGCTAGTCCCTTCATGAGGCATCTTCCCTGATCAATCTGCCTATTTGCAACAGCCCAAATGTATTATGGACTAGAAGAGAATTTTGTTATTTCCCAACATTGCTTCTGACAGCTCAGATTCCTGTTTGCTGATATAGCAAGTTAAAAGCCCATAATATTTAACCTGGACGGATGTGTTTAATTTTTTTACCCTAAATACAGTATAAAAAGAAGCACCAAAGGAAGAACAGCATTTTCTAGTTATTAAAAATAGCATTTATTTAAAAAAATAAAAAATGTTGAGAAATTCAATATCACTTCTAAAGAAACCTTTTTAACCACGAAAAAGTACCCTATATACCTAGTTTTGTGTAAATATGGGCACCACTGCATATCAAAACAGTGTGACAATACAAACTTGAGCTGGAAGAGAAATTAAAATATATATCTCAATTAGATCAGATTGGAATGACTTAGTCAGTAATGGACCAAGGACTTGGCGGAAGAAATCTCCACAACCTCAATCCTTTCCCACATATTTTATCCTCTACTTCAAAAAGAGAGGAGAAAAAACAAAGCAAACTGCCATATTTTGCTATAGAATGTAAACTACAGTCTGAGTCTATCTGTTTCTAGAGAAGGTCATTCTGCCTGCTCTATAAAGTGTATAATTCTGTAACATGCAGAGGGCTCATAGACTTTACCCAGTTATGGCAAAGTCTCAATCTCTAGGGAATGGAATATGACACACTACTTTAGTGGGAAGGGACCTATGATGATCATCTAGTCCAACTGCCTGATTGATTGAGGGCTGACCAAGTTGATGTTAAGGGCATTGTTCAAACATTTCTTAAAATACATACGGGTTTGGGACTTTGGCCACAATTCAAGAAAGCCTGTTTCAGCACTTGACCACCATCTCAGTAAAGAAATGCTTCCTAATGAAAAAACAGGTTTCAGCTAGCAGAGGATGTACCTAAGCTGACTTATTTGCCAAGAGTGTAATTCTCACGTATTTTAAGAGGGGATATGAGGAAACATTGGTAAGCACTTGGGATGACTGTGTAGGTCTTGGAGTCTGGCGTTCAGGTCATGGCTTACTCAGCATTAAAAGTCCCATGTCACAGAGGAGGGGAGAGATGGGGACATGCCTGGGTCCTGGACACTGTTCAGGCATAACTATACCATTCCAAACCTTATTGATTGATGAGCACACAGACCCAGCTACCAGACCCATTTGCAACAAACTGCACAGAAAAACCAAGCTATCTTAATGCTTATAGCTCCAGGCAATTTGCACCTTCTCATCTCATAAAAAAAGAGAGAGAGAACAAAAAAGTACAGGCTTTTAGTCACCTTTGGACACCACGAAAGGCATCATCTTCTGGACATGCATACTTCTCCCCATTGACTGTATTAGCAACCTATGGTGACTAACTGACTTCAAATTCAATTTTCATGTGTCATCCAATTCTCCCAAATGTCAGTTTCTGAAGAGTTTAATTCAACAGGGGTTGAATGCCTCAAATATCTTGGGAGGAATCCACTGTATCAGAGACCAAAATTAATCTAGGATTTATATCATACACATTTTAGAGAGAAAGGATGATTACTGAAAAGTTTTATGAGGATGCTTCATTCCACGAATTTTCATACCAAACAGAAACAGAAAAGGCTATGAACTACAC